GGGAGTCGGCCCATCGTGGCCATGTGTCGGCCCCCCCCCCCCCCGTGGCCCCGTGGCCCTCCCCTGGACAGGGTGGGTCGGAGCCAGGGTGGCGGTGGTACGGGGAGGGGCAGAGCGGAGAGGAGGAGCTGCGTAGGAGCAGAGATGTGCCGGGGGCAGTAAGTGTGCAGCACCTTTGCCATGCAGTGGGTGGGGGGTGGCAGGGGGTGTGCCACGTGGCTCTGTTCTGAGAGCTGCACGAGCCCAGCCTGATGCCCGGGGCTCCCTGCCTCCTGCTGCAGAGGGCAGGGATGAGGTGGAGCTGGCAGATTACCCGGACGATTTCGAGGAGGTGGAGGAGCCCAGCCTGGAAGCGGTGGTGAGCAGTGCCCGCTGCGCCATGCAGGTGCCAGCTGACAATGAGGCGTTCCAGGAGGATCCCCAAGGGCCCGCTGCTCTCTCGGCCTCCCTGAGGACTCTGCGGGAGACATGCACAGGTGAGGTGCCCCGGGCAAGACAGTAAATGCACTCGGGCCTGCTAGTCTTGCCTTCCCGTGCTGCCGGCAGTCTGCCGCGCCGAGGCAACCGGCTCCTGGGCATCTGCCTTGCAGGAGACAAGCTGGGCTGTGACAAAGGGCCCTCAGCTCGGGACAGATTCAGCTTCCCACAGCCTCTCTCCTTCGCTCGCGCTGTCCCAGAATCCTTTGCAACGTTCCCCATCGGGCAGTGGCATGGGCCCCTTTACCTTCAATACCTGAGTGTTAGCCGGAGGCTCAAGGTGGGCAATAGGAGTGGGGGTGACTCCACCCAGCCCCCCCTGCTACTTTTGGTGCCTTCCGGGGGCTCTGGAGGGGGCCGAAACGCAGCCACTGCTGGGGTGTAAGAGTGCAGTCAGGTAACTGATGAGCAAAAGCGGATTGGTTCATGCTCTGGACTGCACGCGTTCCCTCTCCCACCAGTACAGCTTTAGCAGCCCGGCTCTGGGACCTACCCCTGCTGCAGCTCTGCATTTAGAGTGTGTTCGGAGCCAGGCGGGCAGCCCGGCTCAGTCCTGGCTGGGTCCAGGAGCTCAGGCCCCCCAGGCAGGGGCTGCTGCCACCCCATGCTGCTGTCTCTGTATCAGAGGCAGCTGGTCCGCGAGGGGAGCTGGTTTTTAAACTGGTTCCCCCTGTGGGCCTGCTCCCGCCTGGCCCCCCCAGAGCAGTGCAGCTGTCTGACACAGGGGCAGCAGCGTGGGGGCGGGGGGCTCCTCGGGAGTGGGGCCGGAGCGCACTGGCCCTGGGGACTATAGACTAGTCGA